TTATGATTTCTAACAATCATCCCAAAGTAAGACATAAAACAGCATGCTTGTGTGTTGGCTCAGCGGGCTTAATATTAATGAGAAAATAAAATCGGTCACATTAAACAGCTAGATTTCATGTCATTTACTTTGTTATAGCTATCAGTTAAATATCATGTATAGCTGTCGAGGGCTCTCATATCATTTCTCTTTCCTCATGTAAAAATCTGGACACCACTGCTGCCAACTGTGGCTGCCAGCAGCTTCCCTCACGTAGGCACATGTCGCTGGGTCGAGGTTTGTCTGGCACTCGTTGTGACAAAGAGTCTATTTTCTGCTCATACATTGCCACAATTTCCCAAAAGGCCCAAGGAGCGTCTGTTGTTCATGATGTTGTGACCAATTCTATTCTGTCTCCCCAACTGCTCCACTGAGGACTGTAGATTAGGCCTTCCCGGTTTGTTTTGAAAAGAGCCTCCTGTCAGCGCCGACTGACAGGAAAAAAGAAGGAACAATAACTCTGGGGCAGTAATAGCTCTGTCGGTTCCTCCTGCTTGTCACCAGGTTTTGTTTGTGTGAGACTGAACACTTTAACCTGCATCCGCTCACTTTATGCCCTGAGGAAATTGGCTTAGCCTCAGGTATAATTAAGGTCCAGATGATGTTATTGGTGTTAATTCTCCCACCATTATTGAACAGTTATGTCAAAGCGCTTTGTGTCACTGTATACTTCATATGCACTTTTGTGAAAGAAGACCTGGAGTGCAGGCTGAAAAGTTATTTTCCACTAAGTGCAACCTTAGAGTCTGGGGAATAATATCTCTTCCTTTTAAGGCCTGAGAATCCCACAATCCCTTTTATTTTCTTTATATTCATACAGGGAGGTACCCGATGTACAGAAGAAGCCAGATTTGTTTTTGTTTTTTTCATTTAAGACCCCAAATTCTTAAAAGCAATAAACTCTAATAATAACACATATTTTTTTTGTGTGATGGGACAAAGCAAACAAGTCTGTCCAAGCTGTTTGTGATTGCTGTTTTGTTATTCCTGCCATCAGTCTTTATGTTTCATACTACTCTGTAATGAAAATACTCCGAGTTGTTATTTTCTTGGTAAAAACTAGAACAGGTGTTTGCCTATCGTTCAATTTAATTTAATACTTTCATCGCCTTGCTTAATCAGACACGCTTCCAGGGATCTAGTGGTTAACACGTTCGCTCCAGGTCACTGGTTTAGTTCCAGCTAGAGACATGGTTCCTCACTGGGGTTGTGTCACGAAGGGAGTCCAGCTTAAATCTCTGACAAATTAGACATGCAGAGCCAGCTGCTGTAGTGAGCCCTGTGGCGAGGGAGCAGCCTGTTTATTCAAGCACAATATCTAATTCAATTTCATTTATAATGCAGCAAAACACAACAATAGTCGCTTCAAGGCACTTTATGTTGTAAGGTAAATACCTTTCAATAATAAAGAAAAAAACGCAGCGATCAGACTACCTGCTGTTAGCAAGCAGCTGGCAACAGTGCGAAGGAAAAACTCCCATTTAACAGGAAGAAACAGCAGTCATCTGCCACAACTGGTTGGGGTTGAGGTGAAAGACATGGGACAAAAGACTCAAGTCTTGATACAAGTATTTCCTGTTTCTTCCTTTGTTCAATTTATTTTGCCGTTTCTATTGTTTTGACAACCTTTTTTTGTAGGCAAGTTTGTTTTTTTTGTGACTCATGCTGTTGTTTACCTTCTCTACTGTGTCAGTGCAGAGGTAAGTCCTTAAACAGAAACATGTAGGTAATAGACGTTGACATTTTTGGCGTGCCATCGTAGCATTGTTCACACACAGCCACTGTCAAGAATTTGTGGTATCTATGGAAACATCTAGTCTTTAAATCGAGACTTAACAGGTTTTTCACATTTACTTCAGTTAACATTTGAAATGTAGACCTTACTGAGTCAAACTAACTCAACTTTGTGTTGAGTGAGACAATAAAGGCTGAGTCTAACAAAATATACCTTACAAGAATTTACCAAGACTGGCTGCAGGTCATAATCTTATCTCAGGACTGGGTTGCTAATGTTATCCTAATCTGATAACACTGTGTAACATCGAGGGACACAATTATAGACTGGGCGACAGCGTTGCATTTTGGTTTTTCTATCCTAATATCATTTGTAATGCTGTGTGTACAGCTTCAACACAGGTAGCTAAATTAAACTAAAATCAAACTAGTTGTCTTTCTTCTTACTAGGGCAGTTTGTAGCTTGTTTAGCATGTCAGAAATGTTATAGCGATTACTTTATGGCCTAATATTTACTGGATACAGTGAACTAAAGGATGAACTGAGCCTATGTTATTATAAAGGAACATTAATGGTTCACAGCCAGTGGGACCCCAAAATAATAACAATTAGTTAAGAGTGTTACAATTTTCACGTTTTTATTAGACAACCATTAACTCATATCTCTGTTTATCATTCAGCTCTTGTGTTCAGCTTCAGGCATGTGCAGACCTGTAACAGACCGTCAGATAGATCAGCTGAAGACCAAATGTTTCACTGACTGTGTTTGTTGGACGTGTTTGTGTCGCATCTGAGATAACCATGATATGAGAGAAAACTGACATTTACTATAGCGATCATCATAATTTATTTATTTGGCTGGTGTTTATGGGGAAATCGGACTCATACTGTAAAAAATCAAAAACGATAATAGCCCAGCTTGAAATAAAGCAGCGAGTATCACCAAGTACATACTTCTTCAGCTAAACAGCCTCATCTCCTGCCACATTATGACGCCCACAACTCACGGGCCTCGCTACAGCCATATTTACACCGTTTTACAGCTCCAGCAGCACTACCCCATCTGTTAAGGGTATATCTACCAGGGACGGATGAGGGTTGTTTTCCTCTGGAGTGACTAGAGATAGCATGTGGGCATGTTGTTGTGCTGCTTTCATTTTAAAGTTTCCTCTTGGCGAATCTGTTTCCAACCTCCTCACTCTCCCAGGGTGTTTCACAGTTCACACAGCCAGCTGCACAGCGTCTGGGTGGGCGGAGAGGCAATCAGTGACTGAATCAAAGTCTGTGTGTGTGTGTGTGTGTGTGTGTGTGTGTGTGTGTGTGTGTGTGTGTGTGTGTGTGTGTGTGTGT